CACACACACACACACACACTCACACACACTCACACACACATTGTTCCACAACCCTAGGGACACATTTCCAAAAATGTCATCTTGCGTAAACCAAACTCTCACCCCCCCGCCTTCCCACTTATATATGGCCCTATAGGAGGGTAAACTTGCACCTAAATGATGAAAGTTTCTCCTAGCCTGAAACTCAGTCTGCTACAAGTGTAAGACAGCAAAAAATATAAGACTGAAGATCTCAGCAGCCAAATTCTGGTAATCTTTTTTTAAGTCCAGGAATATCTATTTGTAATAAATATTTAAAATAAAGATACACACCGATAAAAACAAAACAAAAAATACACTCTCGGGTGGTAGTAGGCTTGGAGGGAAAGCCAGTTTGTTTTAAATGTAGAAAAAGCAGGGCTACACGCTACATTTTCTCAAAACATGTTCTGTTATCGATGGTGAACCCTGCATTCATTTTTTTGGGGGGGTTTTTTGGTGAATACATGTATTTGCATTTTCTAAGTTTATGCGAATACGTGGGATATAGCCTTGTTCTAACATATTATGAAAAATATTGTTTGTTCTTTCTGGGCTTTTTTTCCCTCGATAGCAAGATAAGCAGCATCATATTATCTGAATGGTTTCTAGCTTTGAGACGTACGCCACTACATGTATATCTAATGTCTTCAGTCAGTCTAGCCAGACACTCTCCCTGCCGAGTGCACCATGTATCATGTTGACAGGTACCGACCGCTGCAGGGGATGTGGATACCGACTTGACATTGTGAACTTGCGAAAGCACAAGGTAAAATCTTGAGTGGGGTCCAGTTCTTATCTCACCCTTATAAGACAATAAACTCTCAACCAGGAACTGGGAGCGAGTGCTCTTGTACAGTCAGTTCAGTGAACGGTCTTGGAGAAATGCAGTGGTCACCCGAAGGACATGGGGTAACATTTTATTTTAGTGCAATGATGCGGAAGATCGTTTTTTTTTAAACGAGAGTGAAAATAGTAAAGATATTTATCTGTCTTTAAACTAAGAGCGTCGTAATGGAAGGGCTTCTTTCCTCCGTAGAAGCTGCAGCAATAGTGTCCGTTTGAAGGAAGAGGTAAAGCGCAACCAAGTACAAGGTGTAAGAAGCTGCAACATGGCGGGTTAAATTAGGTCTATACAAACATTCCCAAACTACACTCTACATCAATATAGAGCCATGTCAAATCTGTCGGTTTGGGGTTTTAGTGGGATTTCCAAAGGCTTGATATAATATGTCAGCAGTTAGCATAACGTTTTGTTGTTGATTTGTTGTTGTTGTTGTTGTTGTTGTTGTTGTTGTTGTTGTTGTTGTTGTTGTTGCTGCTGCTGTTGTTTTTGGGGTTGTTGTTGGTTGTTTTGGGGGCGGGAGTTGTTGCTGGGGTTTTTTGTTCTGTTTTTTTTCTTAGCAATTGGGGTTAATGCTCCGCTTTGAAGTATTCAACTCTCTATTTTTTATAATATATAGGTCTCTTATTTAATGTCTGCGGCCATAATTACCACACATACCGGGTGCTCACACACCACAACCCTTGTTTCGAACCAACTCATCACAGCTCAGATGGGCGTCATGGCATACGACGGTATGGGTTTAACACGAAGACTTGTGTTAAGGTGCTTCATAGATGGAAGCTTTGAATTTAATCTCCGACTCCGAAAAGATCGAGCCAAGGAGAGAGAAACCCTTTAAAATTCCCCCAAACAACACAAATTGAAGAACGCCACTTTAGGGATTACAATCAGGGTCATTCAGGACAGTTGCCCAACATGGTACCAACTGAGTGAGCGACGCACCTGAAAACTGAAAAACGGATACAGAACTAGAAACGACCCCCCCCTCCCCCCCGGTCCTTTTCCTTCCAACACACACACACACACACACACACACACACACACACTTACAGACACACACACACAACAACAACAACAACAACAACAACAACAACCACAACCAGAAACAAACTAAACAACAATTCACCACAACAGAGCAGCACGGCGAAGTGAATGGCACTGATGAGAGACACGCTGACAGCGTCGTTGTCGAACACGTCCAACAGGTGCACCGTGTAGATCCCGATGCAGGCGTAGTTGCCAAAGGCCAGGACCTGCACCATTAAGGCGGCGAAGACGATGACCACTCCTCGAATCCCGCCCTCCATGACTGATCTGATGACGTCACCGTGTCTTGTGGTCAGGACTGTGCGTGGGCAGGGTCATCCGAATGAACACTGAGCCTACACTGAGGATAATAATAATAATAGTCATAGATTGCTTTTGTATAGTGTAAATCCCCGATTAACATCAAGGCCTATGTGCGCTTCACAATCTATACTATAAAAAAGAATAATTATGTCCTGAGGTTATTGTTTGTCTGTTCTTGTTACTGTTCTTTTTTTAAAGTTGTTTGTTTGATTGTTGTGGTTGAGTGTGTTTTTTTTGTGTGTTTTTTTGGGCGGGAGGGTTGGGGGGGAAAGGGGGGGAGTAATTAGCTTTTTTTTGGTTTTGGTTGGTGATGGTTTTAGTTCAACATCAACAAAACAGAGACAATGAAAGTAAGCAGAAAGCCAGGACCTATCAGGATACACATCAACAACAACAGACTCAGACAGGTCCAAGAATTTAAGAACCTCGGAAGTATATTCACAGAGGATGGGCGACTGAACAGAGAGTACAAAAGGCCAATAATGTTAGTTACCAGCATACTCCACTTCTGAAACATCCTAACATCCCCAACATGTAAAACTCAAAATGATCAACACCATATAATTCATCCCAACACTCGCCTATCAATGGCAAACATGGACCACGAACAAGACGTTGGAGCAAAGAATTACAACATGTGAATTGTAATGTCTTAGAAAAGCAGTGAACAAGACTAGGCAAGACAAAATTAGAAACTCAGTAATCAGAGAAGCGGTGGGCACAAATGATGTCATGCATCACATCCAACACCAAAGAATCAAATGGCTAGGACATCTCCTGCGATTACCAACACACTATCCAGCACAACGTTCCTACATTTAAAAAATCAATGGCAACAAGGCTAGATCTAGAGGGCGACGGAGAAAGACCTGGATAAATGGAGTCAGGGAAACTTAACAACTCATGGCATCCCCCTGACCCAAGCTCTCCGGCTGGTGGCAAGCTGCCGTTACACATTCTGCTCTATCCAGAGAAGTACTTGTTTTTATGTTGTCCACCCATGTTACGCTTTGTCTTCTCCAGGCTCCCCTGTCCCACATCCTTCCTTCAAGCACATTTACACAATGGTAGCAGGAAAATTTGCCAAGCGGCCATGTGCAAGAAAGAGGAAGTGGGTGAAAGAAGGCAATACGGTCAATGTAGATACAATGTATCACAAGGGTGGCTCAGTGATTAACCTTGTTTTGTGTGTGTGTGTGTGTGTGTGTGTGTGTGTGTGTGTGTGTGTGTGTG